CCCAGGGACGTAGGGCAGTGTGAAGGGCTTGGATTCAATCCCTAGTACTGAAAAAAAGTTACTTGAAAATCACTATAATGAACCCAACACAATTAGCAACACTACCTGTTCCTTAGGAATGAAACTGCTTCTCCAAAGGAGATGCTTAGAACTCAGTGCTGCTCTGCATGTTTATCTCTTCACTATGCAGCTGCAGAGAAGGCAGCTGGCTTGGCCTGGCTGCCTCTCATCTGCTACTGCACTGCACTTCTGAATATCCTTGCATCTAATCATGAGAGGATGTGAGTGACACGAGGCCAGTCATATTTTAGGATTATCGTGAAAAAACTTTTAATCTCACAAGCCCCCTGGAAAGGTCTCCAAGACCCCTGCATGTCCCTGGAACACATGGGAATAAATGCTTTGGAGGAGTACTTGTTTCAAAAAGCATTGGGCCAGAACCCCACGATGTAAGCTCTCCCCGAGCATTAACAGTAGCAATTCTGTCCTCCCTTCTTCCCCACTGTGCTTCAGTGTTAATAGAATGTGGGCACGTGGTGGCAGAGTCGGCAGAGTCGTGGTCCTGGAATGCAGCTATACAAACATCTAGCATCTAAGTAGCGCTTATCTTCGAGGGTGATGACTGATAGCCCAGCTCAGCTGTTTCTGTGGCGAATCACCAGTGCGCGCATCACCAAGGATGCTTGACGTGTGTTCAAATTTAGAGGATTCGTGATTTGTACAGGAAAGAAACATAGAGGCCTGTTTGCTGAAGCTCAGCAGTTACTTCCATTAGGCGTGCAGGCAACACGCCACCGCTGCTCTGGCAGTGCCTGTGATACAATCCTCAGCAGAAATCACACGTCCTTTCATAGCATATTATGATGTGGATGCAAATATCCTGCAAAACCATACATGCTCATCACAAATTCACAAGCGAGGTGGCCATTACTTGTCACTAGGCCTTGTTAACGTGCTAATACAGAAGGACATATATTTGAGAGCTTGTTTGGAGGTTCTAGCAGGGGAGCGCAGCTACTCGTATACCCTTGACCGAGGAACGGTCCTCCTCTATCAGGGGTGGTCGTCCTCTTCGACCGAGCGCGCAGCTTCGGGAGGGACGCACATGGATCGTTGAGGGAGGATGGGGACACCCGCCTAGCCAGCCAGTGCGTATATTTGAAAAATGGCTTGAAAACTCTATTTCAATACAATGAATGTCATTGTCCCTTTGTGCTTTCATTTGGTGCATTTAGAGGCACCAATCTGAGGAAAAGGTCCACATACAGACTTTACAAGATTGCGAAAGGGGTTCATGCAACCAAAAAGGCAAGAACCCCTGGGTGAAGCAATTCATCCTACCTCCTAGGCACCAAGTTCCTCTCTTGAAAAGGACACTAATCACTGTGGGACAGCTCCTCCCCACCGCCACACTGGAGCTGCAGTGGGAAGGATGTGCTGTCCCTAGACTTCAACAAAGGCCCACGAGAGTCTGGCTTCAGCTTTAATTCAGATGCGCGCATCCACTCTACAAAGCCAAGGCACTGGCCTTGCCAAGGGAGCGCTGCTGAGCTACTAAGCAGCTAACAGTAGACACGAACACTTGCCCAAACTACTTTACATCACACTGGAAAAATAAGTATCACCGAGCCCAACATGTGATAATAAATTACTCTGCAAAGAATTAATAATCAACATAATATACAGCTGTTCTTTTTTTTTTTTTTTTTTTTTTTTGCTCCAAATGCCTTCAGGGCAGGTTTGGCTGGCTTGAGTTGTGGGGCTCGAACCACAGCAACGTGAGGCCAAATGCTTTGTTGAAGCAGCCACTTAAAGAACTGAGCTAAGGGGCAGGCCCCCTATGCAGCGGTTCTTAAAGAGTGTATGTGGACACCAAGGTTTCAATAACTCAAAGAATAATTTCCATATTACTAATATCTGCTTAAAATCTAACAAATGTTTTATAACTTCAAATGCTCATTAAGGTGAAAAAGGGAGAAGGGGGAGAGGGAGAGAGGGAGAGAAGAACAGAGGGGAGAGGAGAGGGGAGGGGAAGGGAAGGAAGAAAGGGGGGAGGGGAGGGGAGGGGAAAAAGTGTTGCCTGGCCCCATGAAAGAGGGCTTGTTCCACAGCAGCACTTGAGACTCCGCACTTCACCCTGGGGTACTGAAGCACTAAAAAGAATCAAGCCTGTGCGTCCTCCAGCTTGCTGAGCCTATTCAGGCCCACTTAACGCTAGAGACTGTGTCAATGGTACTATGTTCAAGAACTACGAACTCCCAGACAGACTGCATTTCAGTCTCTTTGGGAAAATCTAGGTTAATTCAGGATCAGCTCACAGGGGCACTGAGAGAACACAAGACAGGGGAACACTGGCCAGCGTCACAGGGCACCCTGAGCGGGCTCCAGGCTCTGTCCTCAGCACACAGCTCTGCACAGTCAAGGGCCTCAGGAAGCTACCTGCGGCTTTTCTTACCCGGAGACCAATCCAACCGGCAGATGCTCAAAAGTAGTCACATTTCCAGAGTCGAACAAAGCCAATGCATCCCCACCACATTTAAACAAGTTTGTCCCAGCCTAGCTTCCGTAGCAGAATCTCATAAATCTTTACTCAAGTGAGAGAGTAAAGGCCCTCACTTCCACCTAACTAATCTGAAAGCAACTTACAGGGAGGCAAATGAGATGCTAAAGTCAAACCAAAGAAAACAGCATTCAACCCCCCAAAGAAACAACAGGCTAGTGTGCTTGGGAACAGGCCCTTGGCATCAAGCAGCATAGAGTGGTCCCCTTATCCGCGGGGACACCTTCCAAGACCTCCCCACCCAGATGCATCAGTCAGTACTCAACTCTGCATCACTATGGTTTTTCTCACACATCCACACCCATTAAGAATTTATAAAGCAGGGACAGTAAAGACTAGCCACAACACACTATACTAAAACTGAGGTGAATGTGCTGTCATTTCCTCTCTCCAGAATGTTCCACCTAGCTTTAGACCTCAGAAGACCTAAGATAACTGAAGCTGCCAAAAGTGAAATGAGGAGTAAGGGGGAGTCTCCTATAATTGGCCTAGTACACCTGAGAGGCTGGGATACAAAACTGTCACTTCCTGTCACTGACTAGAAGCTGAGCAACACAGAACCAGGGATGGCACAAGCAGGAATTCAGGAAGGGCGGGAGAGCTTCCGAAGCCCTGGTCAAAAGCCTTCCGTAGGCCAAGGCTTCCAGGCCACAGGACCCACAGTGTTTTCCAACAACGGAGATGTTAACTTGTCCTTTGCAGCGGGCCTGTCAAATCCTCACCAATCAGAATGTATCACACCTGGGGAAGCAATTGTCCTCAATTACATCCTGGGGCAATGTTGTTAACACCTGTGCCCTAGAAAGGTGCTCCACATGGTTTTGACTGATAATATGGGAAAAATATTAAAAACAAAACACATGCGTGCCCCTATAAACATGGCAATAAAAACATTTTGGAACAGGTTCGCATCAATGACATCAAAGTCATAATATTTTTAGAAACAGCTCTGAATCTAGTTAAACAGAATTAGAACTGATAATTTTTTTGCAATTAGCAACTAGGCTTCATTAAACACACTTTCACTCAGTAATTAGTGGTTGGGAACACTCACAATAGATTGATTTCATCTTGTTTTTCTTCTGGTGATTGAGCTCAGGCCCTGGGGCACGCTACTTGAATGCACTCCCAGCCCTGCCGGCCTTCCCGGCTGCTCTGCCTCACAACTCCCCTCCCTCACAGCGGTCTGTTTACCACAGCTCCTGCTGAGGACTCTGCCTCTTCTGCAGCCTCATAAACGCAGCAAGCCCTGTGATCTGGGGTAGAAGAAATGCCACATCGTTTCTGAGTTGTAGTCCTGTGAAAGAGCAAAGATTCTAAAAGTAGCTTAACACCCCACCCCCCAAAAAGAAATCCTTCAGAACAGAGCGAAAACATGAACAAGTCTTCCCAGGCAGGCTCACCATCCGGGCCAATCGCAGATTACAGTAAATCGCAGCGGCTTCACGAACTTGACCGTTGGCTACGGGGGTGCAGTCTACAGATGTTAAGTGTTTCTAAACCCATTTAGCTGTCCAAATGCAGAATAATACGAGGGGGCCGCTGCTCCCCCCATAGCCAGCAGGTGAAATTAAAGACTGAATTTCCAACAGGCTGAATGAATGAGAGGAAGCGATAGAACTGCCCCTACACAACTGTTTATGCAGAGGCTCCGTCCCAATCGCCCAAGTAACGGCCGGGCTAAAGGCAGTAGCTTCCCACCTGATCTCAACCTTGCTCCCAGATAGAAAGTGAAAGGGCCGTGGTTTTCCGTTGGGCCAAAGCCGCGGGTCCATCGTTTCAGACCCAAATCAACGCCAAGGAGCAGTCCCTAGCGGTCACGGTCACGAGAGCCGCGCGCCGGCGGAGCGTCCCCGGGACCGCACAGAGCAGCGCGGGCTCGCACGCTCGCGATCCGCCCTCGAGGGTGCAGAGTCCACACACACGCCCGGACCGGCCGCCCCTTCCCAGGCCCACACTTCCTGCCTCTCCATCACCTCCGCAGCCGACCGTCAGCTTCCCCATTTCCTCCACGCCTGTCGTCGGGATCCCAGCCCCAGGAGGCGGCGGAGGGCGGCTTCACGCCAACCCCGCACTGGGGCGTCAGGGGAGGACCTCCGAGGAGGCGCGCGGAAAGCACTGCACCATCCCGTGCGCGCCTCCCGGGTGCCGGACCGACGCAGCCCCGGGCGCAGGAAGCAAGCGGGACCCCGCGGGGCCACACGGGGCTCCGTGTCTGGCCGCGGCTCCTCGCGGAGCGCCGGGGGTACGGCCCCGCAGCCCAGCCCCACTGTGCCCCTCAGACTCCCTAAACGCCGAGCGACCCCCGCGCTGCAGCGGCGCTGCCGGGAAGCCTCGGCGCCCCCCCGTCCCCGGGGCTGAGCAGAGAGAGCGGAGCCCGGACAGCGCGCCCAGCCGGGCCACTGCGGGCGAACTCCGGGCGGGCCGGACGCGCACTCACCAACCCCGTACTTCTGCCTCTTGGTCGGGATCCAGCGCGCCATTGCGGCGACCTCGCCCCGCGGAGCCGGCGGCGAAGCGACTGCAGCGGCTACAGCCCCTGGGACTCCGGGCGCCGCCGCGCGCTCCTGCGCGCCCCGGGCTCCTCCGCCATGTTCCGCCCAACTTCGCCAACTGCGCGGGCCGCGTCCCCGCCCGCAGCGCCGC